TCTTTGAGGCAAACTACTGATGGTTGGCAGCTTTACTATTTCCAGCTGGTGACAGACTTATGTCCGTTTCGAAACAAGCCATCACGACACAGATTGCGGGGTCCTGGACATGAACGTGCACTTCACGCATGCGCAACGTTGTGTCAGCACCCACCTTCTCCATTTCTTTTCCCTTGCCCCGGATTATGACAAAAGCAAGCGGCCAGTCGAAGGGTAGGCTGAAGGATCTGCCTTCCCCTCTGCGTTCCTCAAGCTCATCATTCATTATGAGAGCCGGACAATCATTCCTTTCCAGCAATACTGCATCGCCATCAATGATAGAGGCGTCACTCATACATCATATTCTGCACCATGAGCGATCCCTCCTCCACTGTGTTGACGCCGCCGAGCCTTTGATGCATCAACCTCCTTCCGCCGAATCAAAGAGACAGTCAGACCTTCAATTTAATGAGGAGCTGCGACCAGCACTAACAAGTTCGCCAGCCCGCCACAGGCTGGCGCCTCAGTGAGTGTCGGTTGTGTCGGCATGCTTTCGCCGCCGCCGTAGCCGTTGTACAAAAAGACAACCCAGCTGGACGGCGCCTCAGTGTCGGTCCTGGATGAACACAAAGTGCACAGATTTCACTTGGGTCGCTTCTGAGGGTAACGACGTTTCACCACGTTTCACTGCAGTAGAGGGACACGGTCAGTCACTCAACACCACGCACCGAGCGCAGGCTAGATGGCTTCCACTTGCCTTTTTGTGCCTTCCTTTGGCCAAGCTGTTTGGAAGCCACCGATGCAAGTGTCATTTTTTGCACGAGTGGAGACGCGATGTGTCGCGGTGTTTGTTGGTGGTTGAAACTCAGCATGCTCAAAAAAAGCAGAACCAAGAAGAACACCAACCCAACAAAACCCCAAAACTACCAAACAAAACAACGAAACCAAAACACAAGAAAACGCGCGAGAGGACCTGTGCAACCTCTGCACACATGACGTCTTCACCCGTGCAAAAAGCCGACCCTAATGATGCTGCCCTGAGTGGTCTATTATTCACCCCCTTCCTACGAGTCGCAATGCAGAGTGCCCCAGACCTTTGTGCAGCATGGACCATGTATGGCACCTTTATGCTGCTGCGAGTGTAGATCTCACTGTAGCAGTTTGCACTTCTTTGCGAAGACACCTTTCGTGGGTCCACGTTGTCTCAAAGTACAAGAACTTCCAGATTGTTCAACCCGGTCAGATGAAAGAGTCATTAAGAGTATCTATTTCATTGTACTAGACTCTCCGCATGGTATTGGAAGTTTTGACGTCATCTCTCCATGCATAGAATATGCTGAAACTTACTTATGCAACAGTTCTGCTCTCACTGCTGAGATCCATTTAAGGCTATCCCAGGAATATTCGCTTTGGGTGGCACAAAAATGAAGTCCCTCTCCATACCACTTTAGGCGATGTTGTGTCACCTTTTGTGTTTCTGGTGTTGAGTTAGAAGGAGTTGCAAACGAAAGCTGAAGTAGCAAATATGCCAAAGCAGGAACTACAAAGAGTTATCCCTCTCTTTTGGTCAGGCAGCAAAAGTGTAGTATCAGCTTTCTTTCAGCATGACTTCATTGCGTTCCTTGATGTACGATTCTGCACCAAGCAGCACAAAAACAAAATCCAAGAAATTCTTATTTTCATGGATATACCATATCACTTGCAAAAGAGATCGGTACTGGTCGTCTATGCTTCAGGAGTTATCCTTGAAACCTGTCGGCAAGTTGTCTTTCAGGAGAATATCCTCCTTCCCTTTGGAAAAGAAGAAGGGTGTTTCCAATATGCCTTTACTCCAAGCAGTTTTAAAGATGCATGGCAAAGCACTGATGAAGAGGTCGCTGGGCGCACTGCCCAAGATCACTTCACAGTGGTCCCAAAGTACAAAGGTCACTGTCGATGGAACACTGCCACTGCATGTTTTGGTGAACTTAAGAGTCTTAGAGTCTCACGCTGTGTGGAAGGCGCTGACGAAATTCTTCTGCGTGTGAATGGTAAAGCCGATCGCAGGGGGAGGAGTGCGGCGCACTCCAAGATTGGCTTGGTATTGTTTGCGTTGTTTTGGCTTGCTTTGGTGGGTTTGTTTGATTTGGTTCGTTGGGTTGGGTGGGGTCGGGTGGGGTGGGGTGGGTTTGGTTTTGGTTGGTTTGGTTTGGTTTGGTATGGTATTGTTTGATTTGGTTTGCTTTGGTTTCTTTTTGGCTTTTGTTTTGTTTTGTTTTGTTTGGTTGTTTGTTTGTTTGTTTGTTTGTTTGTGTGTTTGTCTGTTCTGTTCTGTTCTGTTCTGTTTTGTTTGTCTTGTTTTTGGCTTGGTTTGGTTTGGTTTTGTGGTTTGTTTGTTTGTTTGTTGGTTTTGTTTGGTTTTGTTTGGTTTGGTTTGGTGGTTTGGTTTGGTTTTGGTTTGGTTTGGTTTTGGTCCGGTTTGGTTGCTTTGGTTCTGGTTTGTTTTTTTTGGCTTGGTTTTGTTTTGTGTCGTATTGTTTTGTTTGGTTTTGTTTGAGTTGGTTTTGGTTGGTTTGGTTGGTTTGGGTGGTTTGGATGGTTTGGTTGGTT